AAAAAAAAAAAAAAAAAGTATGTGTGGATCTTTTTCTGGATTCTTTTTTCCTTCTGGATTCTGATGTATATTTCTATACTTATACCACACTGTCCTGATTACTGTAGCTTTATACTAGAAATCTGAAATCAGGTAGTTTAAATCCTCCAACATTAGTCTTGTTTTTCAAAATTGTGTTGACTAAACTAGGTCTTCTGCATTTCCATTTAACTTTTAGAATCCCCTTGTCATTTTCTGTAAGAATGACTGCTGGAATTTTTATTGAGATTGCATTCAATTTATAGATCAATTTAGGAAAAACTGTCTCTTAACAATAATGATCAAAAAACATACTTTATTTATTTCAATTTATTTAAGGCCTTTATTAATTTCTCTTAAGTTTTATAGTTTTCATCATACAGGTCCTGCATATATTTATTAAATTTATCCCTGGGAATTCCCTGACGGTCCAGTGGTTAGGACTCTTGAGCTCTCATTGCCAAGGGCCCAGGTTTGATCCCTGGTTGGGGAACTAAGATCACACAAGCCACGCACCACGGCCAAAAAAAAAAAATTTATCCCTAAGTTTTCATATTTTTGATGTTATTACAAAAGGTATTATTTTGTAAATTTCAATCTCTAATTGTTTGTTGCTAGTATATAAAAATGCAATTAATTTTGCAAATCAACTTTGTAGCCTACCATCTTGCTAAATTCGCTTTTTAGTTCTAGCAGCTTTTTTGTAGATTCCTTAGGATTTTCTACATACAAGATAATATCTTCTGCAAATAAAGATTATTTGATATTGTTCCACATATCTGTTGCTGTGTTTTTGGTCTTGGTTTTTTTCTCTGTGCCTCGTTTTGGATAGTTTCTAATGTCATATTGTCAAGGTTGCTGATCTTTTCTTCTAAGTGTCACTTCAGATACTATATTTTTCTATCTCCAGAAATTCTATGTTTCTCTTTCTCTTTTTTAAGACAATATATTCTGCTTCTCTCTCATGTGCATGTTTTCCTTTGCCTTCTTGGATATATGTGGCATTTATAATAGCTATACCCGTGTCTGATAATTCCATCATCTTGGTCACTTCTGGGTCTGTTCCTATTGACTGGCTTCGCTTTTAAGTATGAGTTATATTTTCCTGACTTTTTACATGCCTTGTAATGTTTGATTGGATGCTGGTCACTATGAATCTTACTTTTTGATGTACTGGATTTTGTTGACTCCTTTGCACAATGCTGGGTTTTGTCCTGGAACTCAGTTAAGTTACTTGAAATCAGTTGGATGTTTTCAAAGTTTGCGTTTTAACATTTGTTAGGGCAGTTCAGGGCGACCTATAGTCTAGGGCTAATTTCGCCCCACAACTGAGGGGACACACTTTTGAGGCCTCTTCTCAATGCCTTGTGTATTACAGGGTCTTTCTGTTCTTGCTGGTTCGGGAACATCAACTATTCCCAGGCCTGTAATTTCCAAGACTTTTTCTGCCTACTCCTTTCTGATTGTTCTTTCTCCAATCTCAGGTAGTTTCTTCACATACATGTACAGATCAGTACTCTGTCAAGGATTCAAGGAGACCCTTCTGCAGATATCCAGAGCTCTGTCCTTTGTCTTTGAGTAGTTACCTGTTCTCCATGGTCTCCCAAAACTCTGTGATCTCTTATCTTCTCTACTCAGTGAGACTTCCAGGCTTATTTGGGTTCCACCTCCTTGCACTGTGGCCTGGAAACTGCCTCTAGATAGCAAAGCTAGGACAATTAAGGGCTCATCGTGTTTGAGTTCCTTCTTTCTGGGACCACAGTCCACCAATGCTTGTTATCTAATGTCTGAAAACCATTATCTTTTATATTTTTTCCTGGATTCATTCCTAATTGTTTTAGGAGGGAGGGTAAATCTGATTACTGTTGCTCTATCTTAGCCAGAAGTGGAAGTCCACTATTCGTTGATGTAAGCTCCCCAGGTGATTCTAATGTGCAGTCAGTTTTGAAACCCAGTGAGTTAGTAGCTTTAACTTTCTTAACAGAAAATTTCCTTCAAGACAGCACACATTTCTTCTGAGCTGACTAGTCCTGATGACGTTTGTAAGCCTGTGTCCCAAAAGTGTCATATGATGGTTAGCTAATATATTCAGAGAAACTTTTCACCAAAAGAAATGCCAAACACCCACTCTGCAAAGAAACTGAGAAACCATATGCTTTGGAAGAAAGTTTCATATGGAGATACTTAAACTGGAATATCTGATATAAGATGCCACAAAAGAATGCTTTAGGGACTTCCCTGGTAGTCCAGTGGTTAAGAATCCGCCTTCCAGTGCAGGGGACGCAGGTTCGATCCCTGGTTGGAGAACTAAGATCCCACATGCCGCAGGGCAACTAAGCCCACGTGCTCTAGAGCCCACACGCCACAACTAGAGAGCCTACATGCCGCAACTACTGAGCCTGTGTGCCACAACCAGAGAGCCCGTGTGCCACAACTACTGAGCCCGCATGCTCTGGAGCCTGCACGCCACAACTAAAGAGAAGCCCGCGCGCCACAACAAAGAGCCCGTGCGCCTCAATGAAAGATCCTGCACACCACAACGAATATCCCGCATACCACAACTAAGACCCGATGCAGCCAATGTGAATAAATAAATAAATATTTTTAAAAAAATGCTTCACAGCATGGGAGTAGGAATAACATAATTTGGAAAAATCATCCTCTTCCTGAGTCATTCCAGAAAAAACCTATCTTTTCAAAATTTTTGCCTTATAGAAACCATTCATAAAAAGCATGTTCAACGGGAACAACATATAATCGTCAATAAAAATCAGTCACAGGATTTTACCAGTGTGACTTCCAAAATCATGAACCTTGTAAACTAAATTAATTAAAATATACAGGCTAATACAGGCCAAACTTTACTTATAAATAAAAAATAAATAAGATTCTCTTCAGTACCAGCAAATTTCATTTCTACGTACATAGAGGTTTCTTCCCATCCTTCCAGATATCCCTCTGAAACTTACCCTTTTCCAAGTAAGACCTTGGAGCCCACGGTGGGTCCTCTTCAGCATAAGGATCACTATACTCAACCACGGCTGCCTCTTCCTCTTCGTAATCTTCTGGAGGAGGAGGTGGTGGTGGGGACTCATCAAAGACTGGTTCTTCCACAGGTGGTGGTGGAGGTGGTGCATCTGAAACTAAGAATGTATCAAGCTGATAACAAAACTACACATTATGCAAAGTTCAGTGTTTCCTATCCAAGCTTCTATGTTCATGGAGTATAAACCTAGACTTGAAAATAATAATCTTTCAAAAAATAAGTAGGCAAGAGAAGTGTTCCCACCAACTATACTGTTCCAAATCCCCAAGCCTGACTTTCTCCTCCCTTTGGGTTAGTGCTGATGGATGCTGAATAAAGTTTAGCCAAAATGATTACTATTTTTTACTTAAAATGTTCCAATTACTCAGTCAGCACTTTATAATACATTCTTTCATTTAATCTTTACCTTGGGAGGTGGTGTTTTTAATCCTCATTTATGGATGTGTAAACTGGCTTTCCAAGATTACGTACTCCAACAGTAAGTGGAAGAGCAGGAATCTGAACGCCAATATGCCTCTTATCTTAAAAGCTACACTATTATGGAATGAGATCAATTCAACAACTTTAAAGTCATGTTTCATTATTCATTCAAAAGCATCAACTGAAAGCCTACCATGGCCAGCTACTATGCTCAGCACTGGGAATACAGCAGTGAGCGAAAGTCATGGAGACATGGACAACCAGTAAGTGCTTTAAGTCATCATGGAAAACAGAGCAGTAGACCACATGTCTTATGTGGGTCAGGAAAGGCTTCCTGGAACCTGAAGGATGAGTAAGAGTTAATGGCCCGGGGTGGGGGGTAGATATTTCATGTCAGATGTAAAGGAAAATAACAAATACAAAGGTAAGAAAGCAGGAGCCCTTCAAAGAGCTGACCAAAGTTCAGTAGAAACAGGCATGAGGAAGCTGAACAGTACTAAGCAGAAAGGGCCTTGTAACAGTTTGAACTCTATCCAAAGAGCAATGCGAAGCCAGAGAAGGGTTTAAGAAGAATAACAGAATCACAGCTGCATTACTTAGCCCGGTATAACTGGTTCCAAATAATTCCAGACTTCTTCCAAACATCAAACTTAATATAGAGTAAATATCTGCTACCACAGAGTTATCTTCAAAATAATGTACTTGAAAGCTATAAAGATCATTCCAAAAGATAGGTATATATCTTTCCAAGGTGAGCGTTTTGAAGAGGACAACATTCATTTGAATGTATAAGTCCTGCTATGTCTGTAAAATCAGCCACGGCTCACCTCATATACAAAGTTTCTTATTTTTATACATTTTGTAGGTGAGAAAATGTATATGACTGTGGAAAGAAATGAGAATAGATCATCCTAAAAGGTAAATATTGCACACTGTGGTAAATATTGGAGGTGCTCATTGGGGTACCTTCCAATAAACAGAGGTAAAATAGACTATTTTCAGAAATTAGCAAACAGAGATGCAAAGGCACCTGAAAGAGACACTGAGCCCTCAGGCCAATAAGACTGGATTATAACCAATTAAAATACAAGAAAGAAATGTGTCGATACAAAGGGAACATTTAGTCAGCTATGGAAGCACACAAAAAAGGAGGGACTCAAAGTGTCTGCTCTGTGTCAGATGCTTTACTAAGTGCTGGAGAAATAGCCAGTGAAAAACAAGCAAAAATCCCTGCTCTCATAGAGCTTACATTCTAGTATTGGCAATGCCCATTTCGAAAGGAGCAGGAGTCCTAAGCAACAGAATGCAAATATTTCTATCCCACGGTTGAGGCCATCCCTGTTATGAGATGCATGCATTAGGCTACATCAGCCTGATGACATTATCTCCTTCATTAGTGTAATTCCCCTAGTTCAGATTCCACACCCGTTGTACAGCCTTATGATTGTGACATGGTTCCTATGTAGACTGCTCACAAGAAGAGAACTCATCTATCATACAGACTATGTTCACTGCTTTAGCAATTCCTCACTAAATACAGATACAGGCCTCCTGCTCTGTAGACATCAGTTTCCTCAGCTTCCTTAATGCTTCCCTAGGAGAAAACTCGACCTGTCAATACAATTAGTTATCTGATCCTGCATGATTCAACACCAGACCACAGGCCAGCTTAAATTCACTGCCAACCTATGAGGCCTCATGGGAGACAGACTGACAATTTGGTCCCCTGGGACCCACCATGGCATGGCCATTTTTACACCTGGAATCACAGGATTGGAAGAAGATTCTCAGGCTAGCCACACAACCCTAAAACTCCAGTGACAGACCACTAATTGTCTGAGCAACCCAGAGAAAAGGGTGGGATATCCAGTGATTAAAGAGCACCTCCTCAATTAGATGTGATCTTTCTTTTTACATGTGCCTTATTTTATATTTATTTGTCTTATCTTCACTACCAGATTTTAAGTTGTTTGAAAGTAGAGAATTTCATCATAATTATTTTATCATCCACACTAGCTGCTCATACAATGACTGTTCATAATATTCAAATATCTGAAGTATCAGTGAATGAATGACTATTCAGCCAATCATATATAAATGACATTTTATGCCTAGAATCTGATCTACAGCATAAAGAAGACATAAACTTACTATTTTCTTGGACTCTGGCCACAAATCCCATTAAAGGTAACTGAGGAGTTACCTGTAGGATGGAGGGAGGAGGAGCAAGAGATACTGCAAAAACAAAAAGGTGCGGAGGGTAAGGGGTAAGGGCAAGTTACATTAAACGGAAAGGGTAATACAATAAAACAAACATGTAAGGAGGGAAACCGCTATGCATAAACATTTTACAAGCTATCTTAAGGATCCTCTTTTGAGGGATAACTCATTAACACACAAAACAAAGTATTAGGGAAGTTTTAAAAACTTACAACAGGAAGCATTTATCATATACAGATCTATTCTTACATACAATGGCAAATTATCTTTTCACGTCAATAGCATGTCTTCTCAAAAAAAGAATTTCTTCAGATTACCACGAATAACTTGGTTTTCTGAATTTCACCTTGAAGGTTATAAGTTTAAATGTTCATCAGCACAAGGGAAAAAACCATTACATGCCAACATCCTAATTTTATAATTTTCATTACTTCATTAAACAGGCAAAATTAATTGGTTTTCAGCCATTGATTAAACAAATATTCACTGACTTCCCACTAAGGAGCAAGCACTCTGCTAAGAGACCAATATCGAAACCGTTCTCTTCGAGTCAGGTCTGTGTCTTTACAATTTCTCACAGTCCCAATTCATACCACCTATTCCAGGTACATTTTCTCCCTGAATCTACAGAAAAATGCCAGCCTCATTCAAATCATTCCTCTCCCCCCAAAGCTGTCTTTCCCTTTTAAACACCTGGTACAGCGCCTAGCACTAGTGAGCCTTCAACAAACGTCTGATGTAGATAAATACATAAATAAGCCAGGTACATGCCAAACAACTTCCCAAGATTAACTCTACAGTTATGGTTTCCTTCGGAATGGGTATACAGTATGGTGTGCATCTTCTTATAAAGAGAGAACATCTTTATTAGCTTCAAATCACAGTGAAGACTAATAAAACTAAAAAGGTGAGTAAGAGTCACTGCCCTCAAAAAATCACATTCTAGTTAGGAATGGAAGACAAAATAATAACCCTAACCCAACAACATCTGTAGCACTTCCCTGCAGGTGGTGGTGGTGATGGGTAGTGGAAGAGGCACTGGTGATGGTGTGGTGTCATGGTGGTGACGGAGAGGGCAGTCAGGGTTTGAGTAGGGGTGAGGCTACCTAGAAGTAACCTCTGAGCAGGTGCTTGAAGAAAAGGAGTTCGACAAGCAGACAGGCATCGAGAAAGACAAGCCAAGAACCAAGTGAGGCAAAGGTTCTGAGGTATAAAATAGCATGACCAGCTCACAGAACCGGAAATATTTCCATATGGTTAGCATAAGATGCCCCAGAGAGAAAGTACAAAACCTGGAAAGATGAGCAGGTAGATATGCAATAGGTAAGAATCTTATAAGTTAGGTGAAAGAGCGCTTAGTGGGAACACCTTGGACTTAAAGTCACCTAGCATCAAATCCCTGATTTGCTATTTCGCTGCTATTGGAACAGCAAGTTATTTTTTGAGCCTAATCCATAAATGTGAAATTAAAGAGGTAATGCAACCTACTTTACAGATAACTGCAAAGATTTTAAAAAAAAAAACCATGTATGCAGAAAGTCTAACACAGGGCCTGACACACAAAAATCAAGGCAATAGAAGTGGAAAGAAAAGGAGAGAACTTAGTAGAGTGTGGACAAAAAGAGTATTTGGTATCTAAGGATTCAGGAAGCACATGAAGGAGAGAAACAGCTCAAGATGGTCTTAGATTTTTATCCTTCCTAACTATGAAGGTAGTGGTGCCAATAACCACATTAACCTTGGTGGGTAGTACAGGGAATGAAATGAGTTGGTGAATAGAAAAGTCAGGGAGAAATAATGAGATGTAGGAAAGTAACTTAAAACATAAATATGGAAGACAACTGGAAAGTCTGGGTTGAATCTGTGGGAAAAATCAAGAGGTACAGAGGTGGCAGTAATCAGTAAAGATAACAGTTGTGCCATGGGTAAGTGCAGGCAGAACATGTACTTATAATGGGCAGACAAGAGTTAAGCAGATAATCCTGAAGAATATCTCAGATTTAAGGGACAGAGTCACATAACCCTAGAAATTGGTACCTTTCTTTAAAAGATACCTTGTGGTTACGTTTTTCCCTGAAGTCATACTTCTTGGTAGTAAACCCTTAAGTTGTGTGTCTGTGTCCCACTCTCAGAGGCTTGGAACAATTGCTGATATGTTCACAACACCCTGTGTTCCCAAATTTGGGGTAAGAAGGCACAATGAACAGAGAAGGCAGCAGAGACAAAGCAGATAAAACTGAGACACAGCAGCAGACAGCAACTGCACTAGAAAAGTGGAATATAAGATGATGAAATGTTCTTCTGTTGGCACTCATCCCAACCTCCCCTGTAACAGAAAAGTAGGACACTTCAGTCATTGTTTCTCGTAAAAAAAAAAAAAAGACCTTCTAGTACTCAACTAAAAAAGAATGATTAGGTACTTAACTTAGAACAGGGGTTTTGTAGGTAGGTTGAGTT